TAACCATCTTAACAACAGGGCTCATTCGAGTGTTTCCTGCACAGGCCGAAAGTCACCAGTTAAACTGTCGCATTTCACAAGTCAAATACTGACCCCCAGGCTTTTAAGTAAAAAACCTAAATGGCAAATATTCCAGTCTAGTGCCTCGCTAGTTCAGTTAAGGCTGGAATGAGGTAATGGAGCTGGTCAGGCACATCGGCGCCCCCTGGCGTCCTCAGGCTGCCATTGCAACTGAGCTCTCAGTCAACGAACTTGATTCGAGAGCTGTATTCCGTTTTCTATTTCTGAGGCTGTTGGAGATTTTAAGATACCAAAATGATTATACAAAAGAATAAGTCATAGGTTTATTCCATGCTTAAAAGAGAAGAGAGAAAATGCAACGTTTTTCACCTGAAGAAGGCTCCACAGCCGAAACGTTGTTTTTTTCTCTCTTCTCTTTGCAGCAGGGAATAAACCTGTTACTCGTGTCTTTGCAGACTACGCCTGCTGACGCAGATACCCAGACAGAAAACAGAATATGGAATTATATTTATGGATATGTATATAGGGTGTCAACCTATTACTTGTTCTTTCGGAAAATATAATATGCTGAACTGCGCAACGTTGTAGGAAGAGTGAGTTATTTAATAGTTTGAATTAAATGTAAATGAGTTCAATGAAATAATTCAGGTCTTGAAGAAGACCAAAGGGCGTATTTTAGAGGGGTGCTGGATAGCGGCAATGTTGTGTGGCGCCCTCTACTGCCACTTGTGCCTGGCTTTTATTAGGCACGGGCTTCCTTCTGGTCGCTGGAAACAGGCAATCCACATGGAGACACATCCTTCAGGGAAAAGTAGTGACCGGGTGGAGATCCTTGAGTTTGCATGGGAAGGTGGTGGTGGTGGTGGTGATGGGGGGGGACGTGTTCTCCTTCAAGGGGAAAAGGTTTTATTTAGTCAGTCTACCGATCTTCCAAAATCGTTCCCGACCCGTGGCGGTGTCAGCGCCAAGTCATCGTTTTACAAGAGCTGTCCTGAGGGGTCCGGTCAGCACCGCTCCATCACGGAGCCTGTCAATAGCCCGGACCCGTCCCGAGTCAGCACGATCCGTCTGCTGAGGCGGCAGGCGAGGGCGTCGCTGGCCTGCGGTGAGGAGGAGAAGACCGGGACCTCTCTCCTGTGGTCCTGCCAGTTTGCCAAGGGTTTCTGGGCCCACTGTGAAGACTGGTTGCAGGCCCTTCTACCTCCATCTTCCCTGACCGCTGCCTTCATCGTCTACAGCATCGCTCCTGTTCAACTGCCCTCCGACGTGTTTGACACTGGGCCACAATGGACAGGGGAAAGGACGCCCCCTGGAGGAACACGGTGGTGATCGAAGGCAGCGAGGCTCCGGTCAAGGGAGCAGGTAGCCCTGTCCGTTCTGCCCTGCCCTGTCCTGCCCTGCCCTGCCCTGTCCGTTCTCAGAGAGAACTCTTACGTCAGAGATCTGTCAGAGATCTGTGGAGAACAGGGAAGGAGGGAGCAGAAGATCTGTGGGAAACAGAGGGCGGAGTCTCAGACCCCCGTGATATTGATTATCGTGTAAAGGAAAAAAAAAGGCATTTGTTGGTTGTTTTTGGAGGCGACTCAAATGACATGTGGACAAAAATGCACCTGAACAAAAGTAGTTACTGTTACGTAACTGTTGCCCCTTTTTTAACCTTAACGAGATGCGTTCATAGGTAGCGTTTCAGGTATATATTCATGTAAAGTTTTCTCTTTTGTGATTATTCGCGAAAAGAAAAATAAGTTATTTCTTGAAAGTCGACAGGAGCTGGGGGCACTGGGATACTGGCGGAGCCTGGGTGGGGTGTCACGTCTTAGCCCAGGCACTGCCGATCCGGGTTCTGCGGGAGCTCCAGCGGAGCGAGGGGGTCGCTTGATCGGAATATCTGCCATTTCCCCCCCCTTCTGCTCGTCAAAGGTTTGGGATTTTATTTCACTCGTGAAACGCAGTAGCTGCCAGACAAACCCCAGCACGTCTAAGAGTGACAAGCAGGTCCATATTTGTCCTGCTATGAAGTCAATTCAGTTCGTGAGGAATTCAATTGTGTAACGGAGAGCGGGCTGGAGCAGACCCAACAGATGTGGGGGGGGGGGGACCCCAAAATTCCTCATACCGTGACACCCCATTCTTCACAGAATCACTGCCAATGGCTTATTTCTCTTCGTCTCACGCAAATAAGCAAACATGTCGAACACAATATTAAATAATTCGACGTAAATGCGCACTAAACTGTAAAGCTGCATTCGAAGACTGCTCCTAAGCAGAGAAATATACTTAAACACGATGAAGTAACCAAACACCAGCCACCCCATTCCTAAAAAGAGCAACTCTCCAGAGACGAGCGGTCGGATACATTCCTCGGCTCCAGGAAGTGTTTTGGTTTTTTAATTCAAGATCGAATAGAACGAGCGCGAGGTGCGCGGAACGCGCTCGCGACCGCGGAGAGGCGCAGTGGCGCCGCTTCGCCACACGGTGGCGGCCTACTTCACAAAAAAAAGCGTGTTCAAAACACAGCTGAGCCGCCGGGGGGGTTGGGCGGAGGATATATAATTTTATACCGTCTGAGGGAACAAAAAAACAGGATGAACAGAGAGCGGCGAAAGTGAATGGCTACCAGCGGGTAATACGAGTGACAGCCGGCACCAGACAGACCTATATAAGGGATTGAGACACGCGGGGCTAAATCCAAATGGGCTTAAATCCCTTGTCATACACGTGATTATGATTTTTTTTTCTGGGTTATTCTGGGCTATTGCAGAAAATAAATGTCTTGCTGAACAGGGAATGGACACGGCGTCGTGTTTTTTTTTTTTAGCCCGAGAAGCAAGCGACGGTGTGGAGAGTGACTGGACCAGGGCTGTCACATTTAAAGTCATTTCTAACAACTTGATGCTTTTTATTTATTGTCGTTTTGCGATGCCGCTGTTGAGCGAGGTCTGTTACGAGGGGGAAGTGCGCTGGGCTGTCTGGCTGAATAAAGAGGTCAAACAGTATCTGTAAACACACACAAAACAAACGGCGCTCGCCATTTTTTTCCCAAACTCATGCCAAATGTTTTGTAAGAATTTTTTTTTCCCCGCAAAGTGGGAAAAACCCGAGATGGATTTTCTGTTTTGTAATCCAAAAAGAAAAGGCGTTTGTTTATTTTTTTCTATTGAACAGAGCCTCCTACTAAAATTACTATCCTAATTACCTCCTACTGCTACTCAAATTAACTATCACGTACCTTAAAAGGAACACCCCACGGGCACAACACCTTGCACAAAA